AGACACACACACACACAGACACAGACACACACACACACTAACACACACACACACACACACACACACACACACACACACACACACACACACACACACAAACAACCTCCTTTAAGGTGTCTATTTGAACGTAATGATAAACAAAGAAATGTGCTGTGTAACATTTATAATATCTTCCGATCAGTTGTACCAGCATATGTGCAATTTCTATTACCCTATATGACACTCCAGATATTACAGTACAGAAAATGAGCAAAGCCTTAAAGCTATTAATGTACAATATCAGGCGATTCGACTGATATTCTCATGTAAAACATGAATACAATATCTAATAATAAAACCTTGACATCAACATCCATGTCAGTTTTGCCATCATTTAATATAAATGGTGTAACTTTGCTAAATTAAGCGTCGAAGCAGATGCCTCGATGTATAAAAAACAGCGAGTGAGTGAGTTCAGTTTAATGTCCCTTTGAACAGTTATTCAGAAATATTACGACGAGTCAACTTAGCGTTGGTCGATTGCTCAAATGCTGGACATTTTACCCTTACGTACTAACACGCCAAGGATCATAATTAGTGAAAACCAACATTCAAACCAACGACCACCGGATCCTGAGTGACATCAATAATGTGGAATGACTGTTTTAAAACCGAACTTTTGTAAAATTGACGTGGAATTATGCATACAATTGTTACTAATTTTATCAATGAAAGAGGCAAACTTCATGAAATACCGACCACATGTTCACTAGTATCCTCCTCCGTTACATTTTGAAATTAATTGTCAATTTTGGATACTATTAGATAATAGATAAAGTGGACGTATGTCATGATATTGGCGTACTCACCGTTTACAATCGTTGCATTTACAAGAAGTAGAACTATAACCAGAAGAAACATCCTCTGCGGAGACTTCATAACTTCATAACAAAAGTGTAAACACTAATGTTCACACTGTAGCACTGATAGCAGTAGAGTGGTCCAATCTGGCTCTCAGAAAATAATTTCCCTTAGCCATTTTCGTACTCATATATAAGCAGAGGGAGTGCAGCGTCATGATTTAAGTGCCTTCAGAATTATATCTAGCATTAAGTACTGGAGTAAATCTGTTGGGAGAATCATTGAAATATCCACATCCATATCCATTCATATAATTGTCATTACTAATTTTCCTGTTACGCCAAAATGAATACTCGAGACATGTCACTTTCTGTGGTTAACGATTAACATTTGTTTCAGAAATCTGACTAATGTGTTTCTGGAACCTTCATCGTCTCCATAAAGAACGAATCAATTTGCCTCCTGAAAGCCGCATCTGTTTTTTTCATGGATGTCCTGCATTCATTCATTATTGAGACAATATATAAATCATTTGTCAGGCATACATAAGGTGCATTATATGATGCTGTGTCCTAAAGAAATTGTAAGGTAAAGTGGCACTTACATGTAAGATCATTGTTTTTGCTAATTGCAACCCTTTCAGTATTTCCAATATTTGATGAAGATCTTGTAGTTTTGCCAACAGCAAGATTAGAGTAGATGCCTAGGTGCAGTAAAACTTAGAGTTGATAGTGGATTGGGTGGTCAGACTCGACGAACACGACGGCGTTGATCATCAAGTTAACCAAACCTCTAAAATGTGTGTTGTTTTGAATGTTTGTTTGAAGGACGAGGCAAAGTGTGCATGTAGATAGATAATAGATAGATAAAGTGGATGTATATCATGATATTAGTGTACTCGCCGTTTACAATCGTTGCATTTACAAGAAGTAGAATTATACTGAACCGCAAAAGAAACGTCACCCCAAGTAATTTTGCCTGAAATGTTGTCATTTAAATATCTTGGTAATATTTGTCAAAGTTTCTAAAATTACCTTGTCCGGAAAAATGAAATTTGATGATAAAAATCCCCAAAGCAGATGACAATAAAACCGATCGCCCAAACGCATCACGGCAACGGCCATGGTTACCCGACGTGAGTTCCGTGCAAATTGAAATGCACATGTGTTCCCCCATTTCTTGCCCTATAAAAATCCACCCAGATCGGATAACATTCATTCGTTATTGAATTGCTACCACATGCCAAGACTGACAAGAAATCAGCGACACCAAGCCCTTGGACGATTGCAAGCTGGACAAACCGCCCGGGAAGTAGCCAATGCATTTCAAGGCCACTTAAGGACCATATACAGGCTCCAGCAACGGTACCAGTCACCAACACTACAGATGACCGACCACGTAGTGGAAGATCAAGGGTCACCACTCGACGACAGGATCGTCAGATTGTGCGACAGCATTTTCAAGATCGCTTTGTTACTGCTGCGGAAACTGCTCGACAGACCATGGGGACACACCAGCGACACATTAGTGGGTACACCGTGCGGCGACGATTGACGAGCAGACACCTCCACTGTCACAGGCCACACCGAGGACCCATTCTGACACCACGTCATGGTCGGGACCGTCTTCAGTGGGCAACACAGGACAGCATTGGAGAATAGTCCTCTTCTCAGACGAGAGAGAGAGAGAGAGAGAGAGAGAGAGAGAGAGAGAGAGAGAGAGAGAGAGAGAGAGAGAGAGAGCAGCTCGGTACATTGATCAAGTCTTGAGACCACACGCCATACCTCATTTGGCACGTCGCCGCAACCACGAGTTTCAGCATGATAACGCCAGTGACCACACTGCGAGAGCACCAGCAACAAGAGACTTCCTCCAGCAGAATGGCATCAAGAACCATACAGTGTCCTGCCCTCAGTCCCGATTTAAATCCCATTGAGCACCTGTGGGACGAGATTCAAAGACGGCTGAATGACGTCCGACCAAGGCCGACAGCTGCAGCTGAACTGCGTCAGGCGTTCCTCAGAATGTGGACTCAAATGCCTATATGGCCTTCATCACCCGCCTCATCCATTCCATGTATCGACGTTGCACGGCAGTCATCAATGCACATGGCGGACCCACGAGATACTGACTTGTGATGCTATTTTCTCAGAGACTAGTGTTGTGTTTCACTTCAAGAACATTTGACAATTGTATTACAACCTTGATGATCAGTTTTGCCAAGTTTCATCTTTTTGATATGTCTCAAAGTATGTTTACAGTGTTTGGACAAATAAGGTTTCTCATATATCTATCCATGGTTACGTTTCTTTTGCGGTTAAGTATATATTCAGAATCTGTACAGAGCCAGGGATGCTGTAAACCTGATTAAACAACTCGAAAATTATACTGCTCCACACAAAGGGAAAGCTGACTATTCAAAAGTTGAAGTCATCCTTCTTGTCACGGAAACGTGCAAGGAATGCATGTCTTTGTTTGGTCGTTTCATGATGGACACAGCAAGCTGTTTTGTGTATTTTGTTTTTTGGTGTGCAAATTCGACAAATTACATACGCATATCTATCATTTTGACAAATCATCTCTGTTTTTGCATTGGTCAGCCTATTTTTCCATTCGACATACCTTGATAATACTGATACATTAAACCAAACTCGCTCACAATTGTAAAAAGTATATTCCACGGTCTCAAAAAAGATGAATGAGTTTGTCCGCAGGCTAATTACAGTGTGTTGTTTCAAAGTTCTCATTTCACACAGGGCGACAGAGGGGAAAAGATGAAAGAGTTTGCCCTTTAGATACTTACAGTGTTTTGTTTCAAAGAATTTTGGTTTCTCACAGGGTCAGTCGATCCTAATCATGTTGTCGATCCAGAGCTGCTATCCTTAACTCTCGCCCTCTGGTCAGACATGAGTATGAGATGTATCCTGTATCTCCGGTTGGCATAGGGCCGTCATACATGGCACACAGGGTAAAAGGGGTTGTTGTTGTTGTGTGACGAGAACATAAAGGCTGTCACAGAGGCGTGGTTAGAGGGCCAATCTGCGGATTTCTATAAAAAGTTGCATTAAAAGCTTGGAGGACAAATGTAATAAGTGTATTGAGGTCAATGAAGATTATATTGAAAAATAAAAGTGCAAACGATATTCTGCAACTTGGTCTTATATTGAAGTTGCAAAACTTATTGAACGCCCCTCGTTTGTCACGGCGTGTCACCTTAGTGTTGGGAGGAGGGTGAAGGTCTTGGATGTGTATCACCTGGATCACAGATTTCAGAGACGTAACTGGCATGATATGATACAACTGATCTTGGTTGATAGACGGGATCAAAATCTCGCAACGTAGAATAGTACCACCCTGCATAAATGTCTACACCCCCTTGACTTCTGAGTCCGTAGGGTCAAAGTTCCTGACTTGGGGAACAATGACATATCCTTGGTTGTCATAGCTGTTATGGAGTCTACGTGCTCTTCAAGCGTGTCATCGTCCGAAGGCGACCAAGCTTCCGGAACTATTAGGGTCCATGGCTCAAGAACGGTCGGCTTGGTGCCTAATATCTTCTATAAGGTTAGTATCTGGGAATCCCAAAGCCAGTTACAACAATATCAACCATGTGTGTTGGTTGTTTAACGTCGCAATCGGCAGCATTCCAGCTATTTAAGCGTGAATCAAGTCTGGACCAGACAATCCAGGGATTGATACTGTGAACAACGATCCCTGCCATCAGGGTACAATGACACGCAACCAACTGAGATGCTGAGGCTGACCATCCGATCTATTTTGTCACACCTTACGACCAACACAGGTTGCTTGGAAACTATTCTAACCAAGAATCCCTCAGGGAGGTGTATTAAAGGATTTGGTTTGGTTTGTTTGTTAACGCCGCACTCAGCAATATTCCAGCTATATGACGGCGGTCTGTAAATAATCGAGTCTGGACCAGACAATCCAGTGAGTAACATCATGAGCATCGATCCACGCAATTGGGATCGATGACATGAATCAACCAAGTCAGCGAGCCTGACCACCCGATCCCGTTAGTCGCCTTTTACGACAAGCATAGTCGCCTTTTACAGCAAGCATGGGTTGCTGAAGACCTATTCTACCCCGGAATCTTCACTGGTCGTGACTTAAAGGAATAACTGACAAATAACAACAGCTTCTTAGGACATCTAAATTTTATTTTTTTAGTCATTACATGATCATATTGCCAGTGCAAAAGGATGAAACAAAACATTAACTCATGATAAAACGATTTTTAAAATCCCTTCCATGATTGTGGCTATAAAATATTTCTTGGTTGACATAAGGCAGCTTTCGTCTTCGATATGAATAATCCCCCTAATAAAATGTTTTCGTAAATTGTGACATGGAATCAAACAACTGAACACAAGGGAGCAAAAATTAGAACCATTTTCCATTATGCTCGTGTAAAATATCTTGGAGAAAACTTGGCATAGAGGCGTCACAATTCAAACACTTATTGATGCATTTCGAACTGATACTTGGCGATACGATACATGATACGCCAGCCCATGCATCGATTCGCGATTGAATTCTGTATCATTATCAAAATGTACTATTTTCGTTGTTTTACAAAACAGGCCCCATATCCAACCCGGCTGGCGTTACCTGCCTATTACGAAACAAACTGCAAAATCTTTACCTGCCTGTTACGAAACAAACTGCAAAATCTGACTGCAAAATACTTCACCACTAACACAATTTGAATAAAAGTGTTTGATGCCTGACGCCGAAGAGCCGTGCTGCTGCCATGCCATGCCATACCATGAAGCTAAGAGTGACATATGAGCAAGACTTTGTCATGGCTTCTATAATCTTGAGTCTTGCCATAAGCCGAGTTGACAATCGTTTACTTTGATACCATACCTCTCTGCATAAGATCTGACAACACCTGCATAAAGATTGTATCAGCTGAATCCTGATCGAACTTTGACCTCCCAGATGCGTGGGATCCTAAGCCAGTCAGATGTCAGTTTATCTAAAACGATTACATTTCCTTACCACCTCGATATATCCGAAATGGCAGCAGATATATCCACAATAATGAAAGCATGGCTTTATGTTTTTGCATTCGAAACTCCCCGATCATATTCCTTTTCAATTCAGAAAAAATATATGCATTTCTGAATGCTTCATTCACTGGTTGGGGAAGTTCACCTGAAGCAACCTCCAATGGAGGGGATGTCAGACTTCCACACAGAGAGGTATCCTATCAGAGTAGAAGGTGTGATTTTAATGAGATTGGTTGGAAACTCACTATCAATCTTCAGCATATTTGGGATTCCATCAGCAAAGTAGAGTAATGTTTGAATTTCAGTTGATCAGCAATAATACAGCTATTTGGATAGAAAAAAACAGTGATTGATAGTATGAGCAATGCCCCATTCTTTCTGGTATGGTCGCTATATTGCTGAAATAATGCTGATGCCACATTATATGTTCACTCATTCACTTCTGGGTATAACACACAATCTGACAGAAATCTGCCACTGAATGCTATAACACTGTCACAGGTAGTTTGTTTGGAGCTGCACTCAGAAAAAAATCACCATCACATAAAAATAACAAAGATCAATCTAATTACTTGTTTTACAGATTTTTATTTAATTTTGTTAAATAGCTGAAAGAATGAGCCTGAAAAGTACAAAAAATAACTTCATACAATTTTAAGATTTTTACTAACTCAGTGTGCCTGTTATCATATTTTCTTGTGCATAATAAACACCCAGCTTGTGTGGTTCCTTATTGGAGGGGCACAGTGTTAACCTTTCACTTTAAATGAAGTTTTTGCTGAAGTCAGCCAGACAATAAGGATGTCAATTATACCTGTAAATTTTGAAATAAAAATATTTTTTACAGTTGAAGTATTTTATATTTCTTAGCTGTGAAACAAGTAATATAATTGATCTTGTCTAAACATAAAACTATGCTAAACAAAGAAAAATGAAGATTAACATCATAAGGATCTACCATATGATTGTACAGTCTTGACTATATAATCTTTGGAATCCAATACTATATTTTCAATAAACATACAAAGTCCACATCAGGACTGACCATTTTAATGGTGGGCTCTAAAATCTACTATCTACATCACAGATGTCTATCACCTGACAACCTAGTGTCAGTTCAAATAAAACATGCTCAGTTTATGAAATAGCTCAAAATATACACATTCTTACATACAGTACAGATGAGCACACAGGTGCCATGGGTAACCATAACAACCAGAGAAACATCAAAAAGTATATTTACAACTGTTTGTACAAAATATACTTGTCTTATGACAGTGCCACTGAATGAATGGATTAATTGTGTGTGTGTGTGTGTAAACTCAATGACTTAATGCAATGCTAAAACATATCCAAAGATCTGAATGCAGTTAAAACCTAATGAAAAGAAACTACATTCACAACATAATATCCATCTTATCCTTTAGAGTGAGTAAATTGGGTTAAACGCCCCTATTAACAGTATTCCAGTAATATTACGGCAAGTCAGCTTAATGTGGGAGGAAAGCCCAAAATGATGTTTACCACTTTGGTGAAGCCCAGGAGCACAGGTATTGTGCTGACAAACCTAGAAATATAATCAGGGTAAACGGGGATTCAAACCCACAATCATAGGTTTCTAGCGTGCCCAAGGGACACAACTCTGCACAGCAAATCGCGGCGCCTTAGATGACTCAGCCACCCGTGCCCCCCCTATCCTTTAGAAATTCACAATAATTGGTCTTAAACCAAATTCTTTTTCCAAACAGCACTTAATTCCTCATTTGAAACAAGGAACACAGATTCTTTGATTGAAGAATTACATGGAAAATATGTTACTAAGGCTAAAAAAAATAAGTCTTGGTTCTCAGGGACTGCCTGCATTATCATAAAGTTTGCCACACAAAAACAAAAAATACTAAAATATTCAGTATTCCAGTATTTTACTCAAGGAATACATATATGTAGGGAGGCCCTTTCCCAGGTTGATTGTACTGTTTCTTTGGTTACATAACTGTTTATTTGATTACATACTAGTTTGAACAAGCAAAGAAAAAATGAAAAATAGACACTGGCCGCATGCACTATATTTTAAAAAAAACATTGTCCGAGAACCAATTCTTTTATTTTTTTAAGCCTTAAGGCACAGAGTCATATCATACCATGGAAAAGCACCAGAAAGGGTAAAAAATTAACTTACAAAACATGGCATTGGTTACTTGCTATGGCTTCTGTAGTGCAACATCAATGCCCTATTAACTGTATTAAACACCTTGTTCCAATAAGCATCATTAAACAACTTGACAGTCCATATAATTTTGAATATATTAAGGCTTTTTTTAAAAGAGTGAGTGAGTGAGTGAGTATGGTTTTACGCCGCTTTTAGCAATATTCCAGCAATATCACGGCGGGGGACACCAGAAATGGGCTTCACACATTGTACCCATGTCGGGAATCGAACCCGGGTCTTCGGCGTGACGAGCCAACGCTTTAACCACTAGGCTACCCGACCGCCCCTTTTTTAAAAGAAGACAGCAGCATAGAATGTGTATATAATTGACTAGTAATTATTATCAAAAACATGTTAGTTTCACTGATGTTCGAATTAATTTTGTTCAGTACTGTTTGACCACTGGCAACAAATTTAACTTATTTAATAACATGTATATTTTAAATAAGCGCCCAGGGTGCTTATTACGGTTGTTACGGTATATCAACTTGTCATCAAATGTGTTTAATCAAAGACAGTGTATGCAGGACATAACATATTTAGACATGCCAATTTCATATTTCAATAGACAGGAAAGCCTTCTTGCCAGGTCCATAGAAACCAGAAAATTGCATGTTTTAATGTTTGTCAGTACACAAAATACTCACATAAATTTGCCTGAACAACAGTTTGTAAAGCCTGTCCCTGACATTCAATCATAATATGAGCATATGTTTCAGAATAAAAAACTACAGAAATACAAGATGCTATATGTGTAAATGTTCCATGTAAATGGCCTCAAGCAGTGGAATCATGGTGTGTGAGAATCTTCAACCTTGACACTGATGGGGAGGGAATCCAAGTGATTCTGTCTTCATCAGGTTCAAGACCAGGCCCCATTCCACAAAGCGATCTTAGCGCTAACTCCAATACTTTAACATAGATTTTCAACAATTGTAGTGTAAAGATTACTTTGTGTAACAGGGGCAAAGGTTCGAATCCCCACATGGGTACAATAATTCAAATTCTGGTGCGACCCAGGGTGATATGGATAAAATAATGCTACAAACAGCAAAAAAGAAACTCACTCACTCACTACTTAGACGTTTTATTGCATATTTCCAAGCAGTGTGTGCATCATTTCATGTTCATGTAAACACTATAAATCTTTAAACATTCTTGTACCATTTCACCAAAATGATAAATGACAAAATAGATAAATTAAAAATATTTATTTTCACATACCACGAGTAATCCTTTTTACAATTATTTTCTAACTAAATATAGAAGGGTCAAATTTTGTGTTCATATCGACCATTGAGGAAGGTTTTAAGGAAATAAATATCTATTAAATATTATTCAAATATTTTCCCCCATGGCTAGGCTGAATCCTGGTCTATATATTTTAACGACAACAGTTAATTCATTCTGAAAAGAAGAGTGAGTGAGCTCAATTTGAATGCCACTTTGATCAGTATTTCAGTCATATCCAGGTGTATCGGCTTGGTGTGGGAGGAAGGCCACAGATGACATAGCTTGTAGATGTTTACCCCTTTGCTGAAACCCATTAGCACGAGGATGTAAGTTTTGCTGAAAGACCATGGAATATAAGCAGGTCAAATCAGCAGATCCTTTCACTTCTATGGGAGGCAACTCTGCCTAATGAATAATGGTGTCATAGCCACTCGGCAACTGTGCTACTCTGCAGAAAATAACTATAACAACATAAATGACACTACACGAACAGCAGGTTTCTATCTATTAAATACAAAATGTAATCTTTGTCATAATGTTTAACAAGGAATAATATTTTGTCTGGCTTTAATAAATACATTTTAAGCAACATTGTGAGAAATTGTTATTTAAACTTCATTGCTTTGTGAGCAAAATAAGTCATAATGTTTAACAAGAAATGATATTTTGTCTGGCTTTAATAAATATATTTTCAGCAAGACTGAGTAATCATTACTTAGGCTTCATTGCTTTGGGAGCAAAATCTTATAAAATATAGAGTACATCAGTTTCTAGAACATAGTACCACCAAAGTGATTGTTTTATTTGATGAATCTTTAGGCCAGTTAAAATAACATTCCTGTTTCTCATGACTTTTTTCAAAACTGACTGGGTAGGTAAGATTCTTAAAAAGAATTTAATTTTTTATCAGGTCAGACTTATTTTTTTTACGGAATTCAGGAGTGTAACCTTTGGTTGTTAGGTCAAAACAATAAATTAAATAAAATGCATTGTACATGATTTATGTAATCATCTTAAAGTTGGATTTAGATCAGCAGGTGATAAAATAAATAAAAAATCTTTGCCTTGTTTGGGTCCTTATAAATATTATAAATCTAAAATCTGACAACAGCATTTCATTGTCAAATGTTTTTGTTCTGGACTCATGTTAGAAATCCATAAAAGTAAACACATGGTAAACTTGATTCTACTATCCAACGCAGCCTCTTTAGTTAAGCCCCTTACTGCCTGCAGTGAATAGAGGGACAGTGCCTCAGGTCAGGGTAACCATGGCTACTAATTTGAAATGTTAGTGCAAAAAGTTGGATTCTGGTGCAAAAACGAAATTTGACTTAAAATAAATTGTCCCTGAACAAGGCTTAGAAATATAATAAGAAATGGATCAGTGGTTATTTTAAGGGCAGCAGTTCATGAGAAACAAAATTTTAATCTAATAAGCCTGAATAATTTTTGGTAACAAAATTGGGTCAGCAACCATGGAAACGTCCCAATCTCCATAAACTCTGTGGTCCGACTAGGTACGAGACAACATGATTCCACTCGTGATGATGGTGCTTTGGATTGGAACTTGCATTGATCAAACTGAAGTAGGTGTGTTGTCGAACGGTTCAACTCCATACATCACAGGAGTAGCGGCCCTTGGATTGTAATTTCTTGATGTAATCTGCAGCACTAGCTTTATCCTTGTTGCCCTTCTCGATGATGATCTTCTCCAGTAAGCTATGAACCTCTCTCGCCATGTTCCTCGCATCACTGCCAACATGAAATAGTCATTTGAGAGAGAGTATAGGAAAAGCTTATTTTGGGGGAAACAAAAATAAAGCCGCAACAAAAACATAATATTAAATACATAAAATGACGTATTTGAATAACTAGAGATTAAATCAAATAGGGTCCAATGATAGGAGTGAGTGAGTGGGTATAGTTTTAGGCCCGCTTTTAGCAATAGTCCAGCAATATCATGGCGGGGGACACCAGAAATGGGCTTCACACATTGTACCAATGGGGAATCGAACCCGGGTCTTCGGCGTGGTCAGTAAATGCTTTAACCACTAGGCTACCTGACCGCCCCTCCAGTATAAAGTGTGTAAATGATACGGCTTCATTTCCAAATACAGTAGAAAATGGATATAACGAACTACAAGGGACCAGAGAAATCAGTTTGTTATTTCCGCTGTTCGTTATATACGTTTTCGCTCGGAAACGTCCGCCATCTTGGATAAAACAAAATGCAATGTTGGCTTGTATTAGCAGTGACCACTTCATAGCATTCAATTGATAACATTTCATAACATTCACTTTAGTTTAACAAGGTTGATCCGTCACTGCTGATTGTGTTGATTCTCCGCGATTGTGTTGATTCACCGCTGATTGCGTACAGCCAATTGTCAGTGAGACTTAACACTGAGTGAGATTTCTCAGTTCTCTATACACGTCACTAATTAGTGGTAGATGGGCCCATCGGTGATCAGATATCAGTTTGCTGTATCTGTAAGTTCGCTGTAGAGAGTTTGTTATGACCGTAAATTTTATATGATAATATATAGGAGATAAATCAGTTCGTTGTATCCGTTTGTTGGCTCTATCCGTGTTCATTATATCCGTGTTATACTGTATATGTTTGAGTCTACCATATAACTAGCAAATAAGACTTAATTTTACAGTTGACTTTGAATTGTGAGGTCATTTTGACAAGCGCAAACATGTGAAAATCAATAATGATGTCAACAGGTAGGATTTGGTAGTTGTAACACCGAAGCCTAGACTATATTTTGTTCACCAAAAAGTATCATACTTTTCTTAGGCAGAATTACTACATAAAACTGCTTGTAGGCTACACGGTGCATCGTTAGTAATCTTTTTAGCGCAAATGATGAAATCATGTGATCTGTGATCGGGATATTCCTGATTATTTATAATTGACAATAATTATTACACTTGGGGCATTAGAGGGATGCTTAAACCATGCTTGCTGGGGTTGCACTTGACTAGGCCTGTCATGGTGATTGTGTTAATTAGCACCATGCGCTTCACAGAGTACAGCGGACTGCACCTGTGTCGTATCCAAGAGACGTAGTATGTCTTGCATACATGCTACATTTGTGAGTGAGTCGCATCGGCATTATTTCAGCCATATAGCGACGAGACAAAGTTAACATATTCACAATCGAGTAATCTATGCAAAGTAATATTTCAAAACAATTTATGAAACATATTTGTGCATAACAATATGAGGTATACAGTTTTGAAACACAGGCTTTGGCCACCAGTAACCAAAGCTAGGCTTCCTGCATGATACCCCAGCAGGATTTACGTCATCACTTTAGCCACTGGTGGTGCCAATATTAAAAAATACTCAGCAATGAGTTGGCATAAAAACACTTGTTGATGATAGTTACACCAATTATGATAGGATTACATGACACACAGTGGGGACAATAATTTTACAATACTTTAACCTCCTGGACAGAGCCTTCAATAAATTCAGTTGATAATAGCATCACACCAAATATAAAAAAAAGCATTTAATCATTCACATACATATTTAAAAATTATCATACAGACCAATTTCTTTCAAATAGCTGATGATAAGATGACACGGGAAAAGAGATCTTTCAGATTTACGCATTGATAATGTGAATTACATTTGTGACTGAGAAAGGTAATAATATACGGATAATCCAATATGGTCACCAAGGCAGCTAGCATCAAACTGAATCATATTTTTGTGTGTTTCACGATACCATTGTTGGGATTAGCCATGCAGAGTTCTGAAGATTTTGAAAACAAATGCTTAGAACCACCCCTGACCCCTGACCTTGCACATGTGACTCCCACATTAGTATGTACTCACCCACACACATACACGTGACCTCCATTCTCTAAAACCTCCCAGAACTCTGCCATGTTCTGCTCTATAAGGTTCTGGACGTAGACCTTCTTCTCTTGGTCCCGGGAGAATGCCGTGTAGATCTTGCTCAGACTTCCCTTGGCTTGGTAGTCCTTCAGCTCCTCCTCATAGATGAAGTCCTGGGCCTGATAGCGACAGCCGAAATACAAGATGGTGTCCCCCACCGGCTTACCTGCAGCACCAGAAAACATATGGTAATCCACTGTCCAAAATATAATCCTTTTCACAGAGTGAAAACATTCAGTCAAAAGCACCTCTTACAACGCTCACAAATTCGGAGTTACTTGCCCTTGCCCTTCCTGTTTTCTCTGGAACTTTGAGGCAGGAGATGAAGGGCAAGAAACTTCGAACTGGTGAGCAGAATCTGAGGACTGAGTGCTTTCAATGTGTTAAGAGTATCAAAGATACAGAATCAAATTACAACAGTGTTAAAGAGTACAGTAATCATCTCAATATGGCTGCCATGGCGGTCATGTTTAAAGTTTGATCAGTATTCTGTGAGCACTTTTAAGAGACAGTCCTTTAGCTCCATAAATTCCGTTGCTTCAAGAGTGATGAAAATGTTTTCAACAGAAAGACAGACAGATAGGTGGATGACCAGCCTGAAAATTCATGTGAGATGAAAGTCAGTGATGCTCCACAGTGAGATGCACAACGCTATCCAATGAGGACTCACCCTCCTGCTTCAAGAAGTTCCTTTCCTGTATAAATCCTCGGAACGGAGCTACTCCAGTTCCTGGTCCGATCATGATGACGGGCGTGCTGGGCTTGAAGGGGAGTCGGAACTGGGACTTCCGGACATAGACAGGGACGGTGGGTTTGAGGGTCTCGGTTGGGTGCTTCTTGGCCAGCCAGTTTGTGGCCACGCCCTTCGTCAAGCGTCCTGCTTTGGTGGTGTATTCTACTAGTACAGCGGTGATGTGTATACTCTGTGGGTGAACCTGGCACAGACATTGTTGACAAGGTATTTACTTGGGCATAATAATACATGTAAAGGAAGCCATCAGGTGAGATGAAATGGGGTTTAACGTCACGTCCAAGATTATTGCACTTATATAGCGACGTCTACGCATGAGTGTCAGTGTGGCTGCTTGTACTAGTCCTGACTGATGTTGATTTATAGTGCCGACTGAGATACCAAGTCGCAGTTTAACATGAATACCACGCTCAGACACAGTATACCGACCAGTCCTTGTTTTAGCCCCTAAATGCAGAGCGCCAAGCTGGGTGAGAACAAGTACCATATCTTAACGTCTTTTGGTATGACGAGGCGGGGGATCGAACCCCGACCTTCCGCTCTACCACGAGACCACGGAGGCAGAAAGGAAGCCATCGAGTGTGACCTGAAGACTGGAAGACCTCAAATAACATAGGATCTGAACATGAGACATGGGCTTCTCACTGTGCTGATATAAGAGCAAGATGGGTGAGTGAGTGAGTATGGTTTTACGCCGCTTTTAGGAATATTCCAGCAATATCACTGCTGGGGACACCAGAAATGGGCTTCACACATTGTACCAATGTCGGGAATCGAACCTGGGTCTTCGGCATGATGAGCGAACGCTTTAACCACTAGGCTACCTGACCGCCCCAAGAGCACGATGAGGGTGTTTCACAATCTAGTTCTGTATGTACTGACTTCTGGGTAAATTGCAGTCTTACAAAAACCTCTGCAGAAACCATGACAACATAATGTTTGACATGATGTTCCTTGCTTGTCAAAATTTAGTTCTGTTTGCACTTCAAGTTACCATACTATAACTAGTATAAGTCAATTCAGCCTGATGATATCACTGCCTAAATCAAATCCTTCTAGCTGCACAGCTCTCAGCCACATTTTCTCCATAAAACACTGTGGGCACTGGTGGCCCAGTTGTCTAAGTCACTGCCATTGGCTGTTCAGATTTACATTTCTTTGTCACGCCAGAAAACTATGACTGTGGGTTCAAATCACTGATCACCCAAACTGTTTCTAGGTTTGTCAGCACCATACCCGTGCTCGTGAGTTTCACCAAAGCGGTAAACATCTGAGGCCTGCATCACTTCGGGCTTTCCTCCCACATTAAGCTGACATGCCTCGATATAACTGGAATACTGTTACAAGCAGCATTAAACCCAACTCACTCACTCATGAAACACTACACATCCTTACCTTTGGTGAGGATGAGATGGAGTAGAAACGGGATTGTAACCGTGGCAACAGTTCACATATGTGGTCTATGGGAGGCTTGAGGGATGGTAGATCTTCCAAGATGGCCAGTATGGATCGATGGTCCTTCTGGACCCACTCACTGTAGAGGGCCTGGAACAAGATGAATGCAATGTAAACGTGCGGCAGACTTTATGATCATGTTGGCAGTGCCTGAGAACCAAGACTATTATTGTTTTTAGACATATCTCTGAAAAAACCAAAGTTCGGGTTTTGGTTGACATAGTAAAACCTGAGGGATGCAGTGGCTAAGCAGTAAAACTGAAGGTGTAAGCCTAAAGTTTTACTGGTGAGGTCACTCCTGCCCAAAGGTTTTATGTCAACAAAAAATAAATACAATACAGATGCACTTTTTTTATTTTGCCTTGTCCATATGTGAGTGCAAAAAAATCAGAAAACAATATGTTAAAACCAAAACGTGAAAACTTAATCGAAACATGGCAGCCATTTTCCTCCATTTTGAAGGAAGACAACTCTTACCTCGCCCTTGACAAATGGCATTATGTCACCAAACAAATCAGTATTATACGAAACAAATACACTCAATTCTTCATTATTACCTTGCCTTCTGATGTAGGTGCCAGCATTTTCTGCAAGAACGCCTTATCTTTCTCATCTTCTGCGTATTCAGAGAGCTCACGGAGGACGTGAGTACGAGGGGGGCTGATGATATCGAGGTAGTGGGACAAGGCAGTACGATATGAGCAGGGGCAGGGGAAGGGGTGCTTCTTGCTGGCCTCCTCTGAAACACAAAAGTAAGTCAGGGTTATGAGGGTCAGAGTGCTTAAAGAGTGCTTAGTTTTTTTTAGTAGTTGAACCCTGCCCTCAGCAATATTGCAGCTAAATGCCGACAGCCTGTAAATAATCGAGTCTGGGCCAGATAATCTAATCATTGACGTCACGAGCATTAATCAACGCAACTGGGATGGGATGACATGCATCAACCAAGTCAGTGAGCCTGATCACACAATCCCTCTCTTACGACAAGCATGGGCTACTGAAGATGGATCTTCACAGTGTAGTGAGTGTGTTTGACTTAGTGCAGCTTTGAACAGTATTTCAGTTATATGATGGCTTGATGGGGGAGGAAAGCCTGCTGTCATTTACCACTTTGGTGAAATACATTAGTAAACTGAAGAGGATGGGGCCACCCAAACCCCCTCATGGAAGTGTATAGTAGACATGGGCTAATGACATCAAAATGAGAACCTACATCATGGGGCAAAATATTTTTTTAAAATGTGCACCTGCAAAGCTTTTCACGTGTGCTCTTTGGAATTTAAGTGTGCCAAAAAGAACACTTTTCGATCTCCATACTCAGTGAATGTCACTTCAACATGAGCTTCTTAATAAACCATTGTAATCTAGACGTTTGCCTCCTTCCCTTAAATGAGACTGATAACATTTTTTCAATTTCTGAATCTCTAGGTATATTTAATGAATCATTCTGTGCATTAAGTGTGTTTGTATATTCATTTTGAATCACCTACTTTTGCTCGGGAACATTTATCACTAGCTTCATATAATATGCATCACGAGCCAATTTAAAAAGAGGATTTCCATGTGGACCTTTCAGGATTTAATAGAGTGAGCGAGTATGGTTTTACATCACTTTTAGCAATATTCCAACAATATAATGGTGGGGGACACCAGAAATGGGCATCACAAATTGTACCCATGTCGAGAATCAAACCCAGGTCTTAGCCACGACGAGCAAACGCTTTAACCACTTGGCTACCTGACCACCACCTTAACGATTTAACCATACCATTGGCACTCAAATACAAAGAAACTCCAACTCTGTGTAGTACAGAAACTTCATGTGGCATGATGCAGTGACCCACCCATCAGTGAAATCGTCCTGTCCCGTCACACACCACAACCATGACATCTTGTTTCTGTCTCGAGTTCCCTTACCATCAACATTTGTGAGAGTGATGACTTGATCCAGATCAACATTCAGCCTCTTGCCAATAGCTTCTACCAGCTCAGGGTCATTGATGGGATACACAGCCACATGGTCTCCGGACTCATACCTACAAAGTAAGAAGGTTGACATTGCATGGAACTCTCCATTAAACAAACAAGGGAGACTACTCCAGATAACTTTTGGAGCAATGGAGTATTTGCTCGCATAAGTGAGTGAGTGAGTTGGGTTTAATGCCACTTTTAACAGTATTCCAGTTATATTGCGGCATATCAGCTTAATGTGGGAGGAAAGCCCAAAGTGATGTAGGTCTTAGATGTTTACCACTTCAGTTAAACCCACGAGCACGGGTATGGTGCTGACAAACCTAGAAACATAATCAAGGCGAACCGGGATTCAAACCCACAATCATAGGTAATGAAACTCTACACAGCGAATCGCGGCCTCTTAGACGAATGGGCCACCCATGCCCCCCTGCTCACATGAAATTCTCACAGCATTTTACTCTGGGTATTCAATGAGTGGGCATTAAAAGAATGTTACTTGCATGTACAAATATTATGTTTTTTGTGCTGTTTGCTGCAGAGATTAAACTCACCACCCAATTTGGTAGGATCAAACAAGCTATCATGTGACCTCACACTTCATTTTTGCAACATTGAAACATCGCCAAAGAAACTTGAACCATAGAAACATTAGGAGAAATATGTACGATAAGAAGAGATGTTTCCAATGTGTACCACTTAATGACTAACAATCACTCAAGTGTCTTTATTCTTATCATGATATGCTGCACATGATTTCCATTTTACATTAATCCTGCACGAGACAATTAGTGCATCTCGAGTCTATGACATCACATGTGATGCGTTCATGAGTGAGTGAGTGAGTATGTGAACTGTTGCCACGGTTACAATCCCGTTTCTACTCCATCTCATCCTCATCAAAGGTAAGGATGTGTAGTGTTTCATGAGTGAGTGAGTTGGATTTAACGCCGCTTTTAACAGTATTCCAGTTATATCACGGCGTGTCAGCTTAATGTGGGAGGATAGCCCGAAGTGATGCAGGTCTCAGACGTCTACCACTTCGGTGAAACCCACGAGCACAGGTATGGTGCTGACATACCTAGAAACATAATCGGGGCGAACCGGGATTCGAAACCCACAATCATAGGTTTCTGGCGTGCCCAAGGGACGCAACTCTGCACAGCGAATCGCGGCGCCTTAGACGACTGGGCCACCCGTGCCCCCGATGCGTTCATGAGCGTCGCTTCACACAACATAACAGTATGTTCATTTGTGCATCGAACCAATCTAATATACCAATCTAGTATTCACGTTTCTTTTGTCAGTGAGTCTTTAGGTTTTTTTCCAGCAGGTGAGAGATGGATCTTTTGTATATTATTCACTACTTCATGCATGGGAAACCAGATTATTTATGAGAGTGTTGTATATACAAGCCTCTATTACACTATACAAGCACAACAGCAAACACTGGTCACAGCACAGTGCACAACTCACATGATCAGAAGTACCTCGAACAGAGGAGAGCATTAATTGCGCAGGAATTATACCAGTAATGTCGCAATGCCTGTATTCAATGAGTACATACACATCAGTAAGGAAATATAGATACCAAGCTGAAAAGACAACATTGGGTGTAACCCTATTGGAGACTTTATTGTTTTTGATGCACAATTGTACATTTCTGAAAATGATTGTGTTATAGCGATTGATTTCACGTATTTTGAACAGAAAATTAATTAATCCTGACCTGATCCTGGATCCAGTGATATCGATTTCAATGTGCATACACGACCGTCCTCCGCCCTTGTGGAGCTCCCTGTTGACTTTTATAGGTGCTAGGAATGGATTCTTGGCATCAAATGGCCTGAAACAAACACAACCTCAGATTTATCAAACAGTATGACCAAAGGGGGATTACTCTTGTAACGAGATAGTTCACAGCAGTGCAAACAGACATCTGCCAGTGTGTTCACAATAGTTTTGACAAAAACCAGTTGAGTTGAAAAGGAAAAATAAACAGTGCAAGTCTAGAATTGATTAGTTGATGGTGACAGTCCTGATCTATAATGTTAATTGTCTTATTGAATTAAATAAGGGGAGATAACCCAAGATGATTGACACTTACGGTTTCTGCAGGTTAAAGGAATTGAGTCTGGTAATTTCTCCCGAGAAGATCTTCTCTTTAGGCAGATCTTCGTGTTCCTTCAATGCATACTGTCGAACACTGTGAAACACAACAAATATCACATTGACATGAAGTTACAAGTAGGTTGACTTGGGATTCAACATGTTAAAAGTTCAGATATAAGGATCGAGCAGGAAAATATCATTGAATCAGTGAATGAGTAAGCCAGGCTTGTTTTAGTAACAGTTTGCTGGTGCAAAGAGTTGTTTAGCAGCAAAGTCCAAATGTTAGTAGGCCTCCCTCAGCAGCCATTGTTGCCACACAATCCCCATTCTATCCACAGCTCAGAGCTGAACATGTGCCACACAATTCCCATTCTTACCACAGCTCAGTGCTGAACATGTGCCACACAATCCCCATTCTATCCACAGCTCAGAGTTGAACATGAGCCACACATTCACAGTCAGGTCCGATTTCAACCACCATTCTGGCCACATAATTCCCATTCTTAGTGTTGCACATTCAAGAACTAATCAAGTGGCCACAAGATGCCCTATTTCAACAAAGAGTGTAGAATCTGGTTTTACTGTCAGTCGCATGGATATCTGTTGCCAACCAACCTGACATCGTCTCCCGTAGGCTGTACACCGAAGTGTTCACACACAGCTGGCCAGAACTTCTCACGCCAAGTCACAAAGTCTTCCTCAATGCTGTCAACAGTATGTGAATTAGTTAAACAGGGTTTGACTGGATGCATGTAAGAATGCACGCAAATAATCTACACCACAAATTTGGGGGGACACAAAAAAGAATGGCTGTTTGAATCATGAAAAGGAAAAAAAATGTAGATGTAGAGTATAGTTCAGAGTGTCAATTGTTGATTTGATCAATAGAAAGAGACAGACATCAGTAAAATTCTTGGCAATTAAGTGAAGCTTGCTACACCAGTCAACTATTGGACACCTATGACTTTTTCAATTTTTCCAGACAATCAAGTGATTGATATTGTGAACAACCATCCAGGGTGTGATGACACACGATTAACCGAGTCACCAAGTCACCAAGTCTGACCACCCCATCCTTGAATCACCTCTTTAGACCAGCATCAATGGCTTGAGACCAATTCTAACCGAGAATCCCCACAGGGTCACCTCTTTAGACCAGCAGAGGTTGCTGGGGACCAATTCTAACCCAGAAACTACACAGGGTCACCTCTTAAGACCAACATAGGTTGCTGGAGACCAATTCTAACCCAGAAACTACACAGGGTCACCTTTTAAGACCAACATAGGTTGCTGGGGACCAATTCTAACCCAGAAACTACACAGGGTCACCTCTTAAGACCAACATAGGTTGCTGGAGACCAATTCTAACCCAGAAACTACACAGGGTCACCTCTTAAGACCAACATAGGTTGCTGGAGACCAATTCTAACCCAGAAACTACACAGGGTCACCTCTTAAGACCAACATAGGTTGCTGGAGACCAATTCTAACCCAGAAACTACACAGGGTCACCTCTTAAGACCAACATAGGTTGCTGGAGACCAATTCTAACCCAGAAACTACACAGGGTCACCTCTTAAGACCAACATAGGTTGCTGGGGACCAATTCTAACCCAGAAACTACTCAAAACGACCAACATAGGTTCCCAGAATGTCCACAGGGTGGGTAAATTTCAAACTGGACCTCCTCCATTACCAACTTACTTGGCATCATCGTCCCCCTCTCCGTGTTCAAAGATTCTGAAGCCCCCGAGCTCCTCCAGTCTAGTGTCCACATAGCGCCCCATTTCGTTGTAGTGCTCGTACGTCTTGTTCCCCAGAGCAAACACCTGCAACACAGAATGGAAGATAACTGGCTGGGACACTTTACTGCTGACATAAACATGATTCCAACCACTATATTTCAATATGAACTGCGACCATAGCTGGGTAACCGTATCTTTGTCCTGCCTCCTATGAACGTCATTAAACGGTTACTTGTCACTACACAAAGAGGCTGTTCCAGAGGATGAAATCCGAGGTGTGGTGAGGTGTGGTGAGGTGAGGTGAGGTGAGGTGAGGTGAGGTGAGATGAGGTGAGGTGAGGTGAGGTGAGGTGAAATGGGGTTTAACGTCGCGTCCAAGATTATTGCACTTATATAGCAACGTGCATGCACACGTGTGTGTGTGTGGCTGCTTGTACTAGTCCAGGCTGATGCGGATTTATAGTGCTAGCTCACTGAGATACCATGCCGCAGTTTAACATGAAATATCCCACTCAGACACAGTATACTGACTCCAGGCCGACCAGTCCTTGTTTTAGCCCCTTAATGCCGAGTGCCAGACAGGGTAACAACAAGTCTTTTGGTATGACGCGGCCAGGGATCAAACCCCGAACCTTCCGCTCTCCAGGCGGACGCTCTACCAATAGACCACGGAGGTGGTCTGTTCCTTATTTTTAACCAACAAATGAAGCCACTGCCTGGTTCCAGCGAGTCTTCCGACCAATGAGCACTCAGATTACATCGGTAAATATTTCTAATGCAACGTGTGACAATCCTTGTAGCCTCTACTCCACACACTGCTTCAGTGTAAGGCAATGGTAGGGTTTGCATAAAGTTCATGCACTGCGTAAGGATCACTTGACTTGCGAGACTGATCGTGCTGATACACAGCCTCGATTAATTACCCAACTAAAATGAGAGATAGATCACTAACACACATCGTAACGACATATGTATTCACGGATGAGGAAACTAGTGTAGGCCAGTGAGGTATCGAGGATGAATCTGGCCTTGGTGCTGTTGACCTTGTATACTCACAGCGTACTTTATACCCTTAAGCTCAGCATCACCACTCTGTAGCCAGTCATAGAACTCCTGGGCATTGTCTGTGGGATCACCTTCGCCATAAGTTGCCATGCAGAATATGACCATGGAGTTTTCAATCTCATTCAGCCGTGTCAAGTCCTCCTGAAATGTTCCAGGACAAAACTCAATGAAACATCACATTTGTTTCTGAATGTCTTTATGTCTGTTTACAGTTTCTGTATCCAGGGATACACATAAATACCCAGTGCACTTGTCTTGGGTCAAGGTTGGCATAGGTACCTTTCTGTATACAAAAAAATACCCCAGGTACCTTTCTGTATAAACAAACATACCCCAGGTACCGTATATCGCTGTCTATAAAGCAACCCCACGTATAAGGCGACCCCCCTGAACAAGAATTTAAAGTCGATGCTAATTTATATACCCCGTCTATAAAGCGAATCAGAATGAAGCACGTCACCAGGGCACACACAATCCCTACATTTGCAATAAAAACGTGTTTGTCTACTGCAGAAAAAAAATACATCGCATCCCTTCAGCAAATTCAGGGAAATGAACAGATCATAACAATTAAACTTGGTCAACACAAATTAAAAAATTGAGATAAAAATACACTAGACATGATGATTTACCGATTAAATTGTATTTCCTGTTCTGATAGGCATTGTTATATATGCAGAGGAAAGATTACTGTGTGCATTTTCTCGTAAGCCGGAAGTAGCAATCAGCTGTACACACGTTTCTCGGAATCTACTGGTGATCGGTTAATAATTAGCCAGTAATAACTTTAAAGAACTTTGATACAATGATCGAAAGTATTGTATCTGAAACTATTATTTTATCAGGAATAATTTATTCCAGTATCATGTTATTTTAGTAGTATTTTACAATATATATTTCAAATAAATTAATTACCATAAGCGAAGCGCTTCAGTACATCTGATTGCTATTGCTGGATATTTTTTCATATGGAATAATTTTGCCAATCACCAAAGATGCTCCCGCGTTCGCGATAGTAAAAGCTTTATGTTGACATATAATATTCAAACTGCAACAAATATGACTTTCAGCGAGTCAAAGTATGGTATTTATGATATATATATATATATATCCATTCTCTATCCACTAAAGTTCATTTCAAGGCGTCAATTGCGGTAATATGACCGTGGTTGCTGTAAATAACGGTGAGTTGTGCGATCTTCCGATTACTTCACATATGATTTTCCCGAAATAAATATATACAATATTGAAAGAAATTTTGAATAGATGACATAAGTCCAGATATATAAGGAACTCTTTATATAACCAGGCAGTGTAATTACATGATCAGTTTGCATACTTCAGTACTGATTTGTTGACATAGTATTTCTGGTGTTACCTGCCTACAGTAATGTCTTTGTGTCGGGGAAAAAAACATCAAAACTCTTCAACCCTGTGTATAAGACGACCCCCCCTTGAAAGGACCCTAATTCTAGGTACGAAAAACTCGCCTTATACAGAGCGATATACGGAACCTCTCTGTCTACCCAAACATACCCCAGGTACCTCTTCTTATACATAAGTATACCCCAGGTACCTCTACTTATACACAAATATACCCTAGGTACCTCTCCTTATACACAAATATACCCTAGGTACCTCTTCTAATACATAAGTATATCCCAGGTACCTCTCCTTATACACAAATATACCCTAGGTACCTCTTCTAATACATAAGTATACCCCAGGTACCTCTTCTAATACATAAGTTTACCCTAGGTACCTCTCCTTATACACAAATATACCCTAGGTACCTCTTCTAATACATAAGTATATCCCAGGTACCTCTCCTTATACACAAATATACCCTAGGTACCTCTTCTAATACATAAGTATACCCCAGGTACCTTTCCTAATACACAAATATACCCTAGGTACCTCTTCTAATACATAAGTGTATCCCAGGTACCTCTCGTACACAAATATACCCCAGGTACCTCTCCTTATGCACTAATATATACCCTAGGTACCTCTCCTTATACACAAATATACCCCAGGTACCTCTCCTTATGCACTAATATATACCCTAGGTACCTCTCCTTATACACAAATATACCCTAGGTACCTCTTCTAATACATAAGTATATCCCAGGTACCTCTCCTTATACACAAATATACCCTAGGTACCTCTTCTAATACATAAGTATACCCCAGGTACCTTTCCTAATACACAAATATACCCTAGGTACCTCTTCTAATACATAAGTGTATCCCAGGTACCTCTCGTACGCAAATATACCCCAGGTACCTCTCCTTATGCACTAATATATACCCTAGGTACCTCTCATTATACACAAATATACCCCAGGTACCTCTCCTTATGCACTAATATATACCCTAGGTACCTCTCATTATACACAAATATACCCCAGGTACCTCTCATACACAAATATACCCCAGGTATCTCTCCTTATACGCAAACATACCCCAGGTATCTCTCCTTATATGCAAATATACACATACAATGCCAAGACTTCATTTGCGCCATATTTACATTAACTTTCTATGTGGGTCAGCTATAAAGAGTTTGTTTTAAACTCCGTGGATTATAATCCTCGCCTTTCACTCATTGTATGATGCAATAAGATTTAGCATGTTTTTGTGACAGTGGTAAGGTAATGTTACCACAAATATTTATTACCATTACCAGAAAACAAAATGCAAAGAACAAAACTTGCCATCTCGCACTCCTCAGGGTCGGCCACCATGCCCTTCATCCCGTACCGGCTCGCATCCTTCGCCAGACGATTGGCAAACTCCTCGCCTGTGCCTGTTTGAGAGCCGTAAAATACCACCACATTGCGGTTCTGAAATACGAAGCTGAATCTTTGGCCCTGTCCCAGTTATAACAAAACAAGTTTAAGGTTTGTTTGTTTGTTGTTTAACGCCGCACTTGGCAATATTCCAGCTATTTGACGGCGGTCTGTAAATAATCGAATCTGGACCAGACAATACAGTGATTGATATCATGAGCATCGATCCACGCAATTAGGATACGATAACATGCATCAACCAAGTCTGAGAGCCTGACCACCCAATCCCGTTAGTCGCCTCTTACGACAAGTCACATGTGGCACAATGGATGAAAATATTTACATATTCACTTCAAATTAGTGTTGTTTTGTGTCACAGTTATCAAAGCAAACATTTAAGGTAACAATCGATGTATTTTACTTAGTGAGTGATTGTGATCTATATTTGTATCGGGAAGTGCACTGGTGTATCCTCCAACCCCTACAAGTTGATTTGTTAGTTAAACATAGCGATGACACCAAGTAGCTATATGTATTCATTGGTGATGGAGAAACATGGTGAACAAACCCGTGATGTATTGATGTCAGGCTTTAAACTTAATAGTTGATCTCTGTACATAAGTTGTACATAAATATACTTGTTACATCAAGTTCTTTGCAAATTATACATTTTGTGTTGATTCAATTTCTTGGAAGTTTTTATTTGTTTGCTATCTTTAATCAAGCTTCTTTTGCGTCATAATAGGCTAAGTTTCCAATATCCAGTTATCAATATTTGCTATTTAAGGGTTGCATATATTCATAACACAGTTCACAGTGTATTTAGAGAATACTTAGTCATGCAAATAGACAATCTGCTGCCAGTATCATGTTATAGGATGATGGAACAGGGCATTTCAAACACAATACAATTGTTCCAGCTGATATATCTCTGTCACACTTTCAAGTGAAATTCTACATATTCAAACGTTTGATGATACCCCATTCCTTAGACTTTGTAAAACCCTTGAGATACTAATTCTAAACTGAATTTTACCAATTTGGAAAATACTTGGTTCTGATAGGTCAAGTCAATTGTCTGTTTGTTTGATGTTAAATGCCACACTCAGCAATATTCAATTATCACCTGTGATTGAAGCAGTCAATTTAACAACTTCATGACAGTGGATGCTTATATTTATAGGAAAATGTATGTTGAAGGCAATATATTTGGTTCAAAATTTAACATTGCAACATGTAATCTACAGGTACTTAGTTAAGAAGTTAGGAAGTGATCCTTAGTTTATTTCCCAAAATACACAACTGAAATCTAATTGTAACAAAGTGATCCCTAGTATATTTCCCACAATATACAACAGTGATCCCTAGTATATTTCCAAAATATACAACTGAAACCTAGTTGTAACAAAGTGATCCCTAGTATATTTCCCAAAATACAAAACTGAAATCTAATTGTAACAAAGTGATCCCTAGTATATTTCCCACAATATACAACAGAAATCTAGTTGTAACAAAGTGATCCCTAGTATATTTCCCACAATATACACCAGAAATCTAGTTGTAAGAAAGTGATCCCTAGTTTATCTTCCACAATATACAACTGAAATCTAGTTGTAACAAAGTGATCCCTAGTTTATTTCCCACAATATACAACAGAAATCTAATTGTAACAAAGTGATCCCTAGTATATTTCCCACAATATACAACAGTGATCCCTAGTATATTTCCAAAATATACAACTGAAACCTAGTTGTAACAAAGTGATCCCTAGTATATTTCCCAAAATACAAAACTGAAATCTAATTGTAACAAAGTGATCCCTAGTATATTTCCCACAATATACAACAGAAATCTAGTTGTAACAAAGTGATCCCTAGTATATTTCCCACAATATACACCAGAAATCTAGTTGTAAGAAAGTGATCCCTAGTTTATCTTCCACAATATACAACTGAAATCTAGTTGTAAGAAAGTGATCCCTAGTTTATTTCCCACAATATACAACAGAAATCTAGTTGTAAGAAAGTGATCCCTAGTTTATTTCCCACAATATACAACAGAAATCTAGTTGTAAGAAAGTGATCCTTAGTTTATTTCCCAAAATACACAACTGAAATCTAGTTGTAACAAAGTGATCCCTAGTATATTTCCCCAAATACAAAACTGAAATCTAATTGTAACAAAGTGATCCCTAGTATATTTTCCACAATATACAACAGGAATCTAGTTGTAACAAAGTGATCCCTAGTATATTTTCCACAATATACAACAGAAATCTAGTTGTAAGAAAGTGATCCCTATTTCATTTCCCACAATATACAACAGAAATCTAGTTGTAAGAAAGTGATCCCTAGTTTATTTCCCACAATATACAACAGAAATCTAGTTTTTAGAAAGTGATCCCTAGTTTATTTCCCACAATATACAACAGAAATCTGGTTGTAAGAAAGTGATCCCTAGTTTATTTCCCACAATATACAACAGACATCTAGTTGTAAGAAAGTGATCCCTAGTATATTTCCCACAATATACAACTGAAATCTAGTTGTAAGAAAGTGATCCCTAGTATATTTCCCACAATATACAACTGAAATCTAGTTGTAAGAAAGTGATCCCTAGTTTATTTTCCACAATATACAACAGAAATCTAGTTGTAACAAAGTGATCCCTAGTATATTTCCCACAATATACAACTGAAATCTGGCTGTAAGAATGTGATCCCTAGTTTATTTCCAACAATATACAACAGGAATCTAGTTGTAACAAAGTGATCCCTAGTTTATTTCCCACAATATACAACAGACATCTAGTTGTAAGAAAGTGATCCCTAGTATATTTCCCACAATATACAACTGAAATCTAGTTGTAAGAAAGTGATCCCTAGTATATTTCCAACAATATACAACTGAAATCTGGCTGTAAGGAGGTAAACCTAATTTTAATTCCCAACAATATACAGTTGAAATCTATGAACACTCTCCAACAGAAGCTGACCTATTTTTTAAACTCAATGTTAAGTGGGGCAACAAAAACATGCCAAACTGGCTATGTGAGATCTACTACGCAAACAGTCCAACTTCAGTCTAGCTTACATACCGTGGGTGTTCTCCAATACATGAAATCCAAGGTTTTTCATGAGATTATGACTTGCAAGTTCTTGTTATGTAGTACATGTATTTGCACTTCTTCAACCTTGGATTAGATATTGAAGGTTGAAAACTCAAAACTGCAAGTTTTTCTTGATGAGTTCAAAGTATATTTCTTATTCTAACACTCGATGCACCCCAAACAAGTCAATTCATCAACAATGTCACCATGTATATAAACACATCTTACCCTCTGATATATCTATGGTACATGTTATATGTTTTTCCAATGAATGAAGTTCTACCTCAATTAAGATTAGATGAATACATTTACACAGGATACGCATTAATGCATGTGCCAAACTAGGACTTATTTATTGTGTTAACTTAATTCTCTTTTATTATTTTCATAAATAACACTTGTAGAGACATTTTTGTGCAACATGCAGAAATCAACGGTCCACTTGCAGACAGTCTCGTGTACACGTTACGTCCTCTACTGGTTAATGAGGAAGCTTAATGTCATGCATTTGCATCTATTTCACCTTGTGCTGCCGATGCTTACAGGACATCAGGGCACTTAATGACATGTGACAATCCCACAAATGTTTCAAGTATATAACATAAATGTCAGTCCTGGTTCTTAAACCAAGGACCAGCTTCATCCCCACCTTGCGCTGTACCAAGGTCACACATGTTCTGTTTCATGGGTTACATGTGTTGTTTCATGGGTTACATATGTTCTGTTTCATGGTTTACACATGTTCTGTTTCATGGTTTATATATGTTCTGTTTCATGGGTTACATATGTTCTGTTTCATGGTTTACATATGTTCTGTTTCATGGTTTACACATGTTCTGTTTCATGGTTTATATATGTTCTGTTTCATGGTTTACATAGGTTCTGTTTCATGGTTTACATAGGTTCTGTTTCACGGTTTACATATGTTCTGTTTCATGGGTTACATATGTTCTGTTTCATGGTTTACACATGTTCTGTTTCATGGTTTATATATGTTCTGTTTCATGGTTTTCATATGTTCTGTTTCATGGTTTACATATGTTCTGTTTCATGGTTTACATATGTTCTGTTTCATGGTTTACACATGTTCTGTTTCATGGTTTATATATGTTCTGTTTCATGGGTTACATGTGTTGTTTCATGGGTTACATATGTTCTGTTTCATGGGTTACATATGTTCTGTTTCATGGTTTACACATGTTCTGTTTCATGGTTTATATATGTTCTGTTTCATGGGTTACATATGTTCTGTTTCACGGTTTACATATGTTCTGCTTCATGGTTTACATATGTTCTGTTTCATGGTTTACACATGTTCTGTTTCATGGTTTATATATGTTCTGTTTCATGGTTTACATAGGTTCTGTTTCACGGTTTACATATGTTCTGTTTCATGGGTTACATATGTTCTGTTTCATGGTTTACATATGTTCTGTTTCATGGGTTACATATGTTCTGTTTCATGGGTTACATATGTTCTGTTTCATGGTTTACATTTGTTCTGTTTCATGGGTTACATATGTTCTGTTTCATGATTTACACATTTCCTGTTTCATGATTTACATATTTCTTCTTCATGGTTTTACATATGTTCTGTTTCAAGGTTTACATATGTTCTGTTTCATGATTTACTTATTCTTGTTTCATGGTTTCATGACACTGAGCCTGACCAACTGATACGTTTAGTCCCATGGTATGAAAATCTTAGGTTGTTTGTGCCTAAATCTAACCCTTGATCCCTTTGGTGACTTTTGGTGAATCATGAACTGACAGACCACGAATATGAGCGAGTGAGTCAGTTTGGTTTTACGCCACTTTGAGCAATATTTCAGCAATATCACAGCGGGGTACACCAGAAATCGCCTTCATGTGTTGTACCAATGATGGGAATCGAAACCAAGTCTTCAGTGTGAACGAGCGAACGCTGTAACCACTAGGCCACACGACCGCCTGGCCATCAATGCTCTAACTATCAAAGACAGCACACTGCACAGATTATCACTTACTGTATTTTTCATCTTATTAATAAAGCTGGGATCTGGAGTATTTTTTGCTTGGGGCCTGAAAGAACAATTAGTCATGTTATAGTTCACATACCAAGACATATAAACACATAGAGAGACATGTTATACCATTGATGACTAGCATAGCCAATGATCAACCAGTATAGCCATCTGTTAATAAAACATGACTGACCAATCTTAAAATTCTCAAGTGACATACACCTACCATTTTCTCCAACTTCACACTTGTCAGACATTGCAGCATATGTTATTCAGTGAAACTTTTGTTTTTTCCCAAATATTTTTCTCTGTCATTGCCCATAGTGACTCAAATTTTCGAGAAAATAGTAAAAACAGACAGCCCTTCCTTCACCCCTATATCCTCAAAGCTGCCAAACTCATAACACACTATTGCCATGTACTTCCTGTCTGAACATATTTCTTCCAGACCTTGGCCAATCAAGACACCTTCCTGGGATCCATCAAGTCCAAGTCTCAGAACTGTACAGTGAGTGAGTTGGGTTTAACACCACGTTAAACAGTATTCCAGTTATATTGCGGCGTGTCAGCTTCATGTGGGAGGAAAGCCTGAAGTGATGCAGGTCTCAGACGTTTACCACTTCGGTGAAACCCACAAGCACGGGTATGGTGCTGACAAACCTAGAAACATAATCGGGGCAAACCGGGATCCGAACCTACAATCATAGGTTTCTGGTGTTCCCAAGGGACGCAACAGTGAATCGCAGCGCAAAAATAACTGGCAAGTGCAAGGCTCTTGTCCAGTTCCAGACTTCTAAGCATTTACCAAGATGAGCTGATGCCAGTTTTTAGTATGTATGTTACAGCCAATGTGTAGAATCAGTGAATGTGTAAAATGACTGAAATTTTCACTTAGGCAATCTAACAATGCCAAAATATTTCAGTCATTTTACAATTATTTTAGGTAAAACTTGGTAGACGGACAGATGGATGGAGGTGGACATGGTAGATGGATGAAAACACATATGGAGAGATGGATAATTGAGACAAACAATAATAAGGTTGATGGATTGATGGAATGAGACATGATAATGGATGATGAAAACATGGATGATAGATGGATGAACAGATGGATAATAGATGGATGGATGATAGACGGATGATGGATGGATAATAGATAACAGATGGATGAACAGAAGGATAATAGATGGATGAACAGATGGATAATAGATGGATGAACAGATGGATAACAGATGGATGATGGATGGATGATAGACGGTTGATGGATGGATGATAGATGGATGAACAGATGGATGATGGATGGATGATAGACGGATGATGGATGGATGATAGATGGATAATAGATGGATGAACAGATGGATAACAGATGGATGATGGATGGATGATAGACGGATGATGGATGGATGGATGATAGACGGATGATAGACGGATGATGGATGGATGATGGATGGATGATAGATGGATAATAGATGGATGAACAGATGGATGATGGATGGATGATAGACGGATGATGGACGGATGATAGACGGATGATGGATGGATGATGGATGGATGATGGATGGATGATAGACGGATGATGGACGGATGATAGACGGATGATGGACGGATGATGGATGGATGATGGACGGATGATAGACGGATGATGGTTGGATGATAGATGGATGATAGATGGATGGATGATGGATGGATGATAGACAGATAATAGACAGATAATAGACAGATGATGGATGGATGATGGATGGATGATAGATGGATGGATGATGGATGGATGATAGACAGATAATAGACGGATGATAGATGGATGAACGGATGGACAGACATACAGGAATAGGTGGATAAGACAGATGTATGGTTACGATGTAAAGGGATGAACAGAGAAGAAAAAATGGCCCAATAAGAATCATACTAATAATAACAAGCATGAAATACTCATATCCCCCGCCAATATGAATAGGCATTAGCCCCCCGGAAACGAACACCACTGCCATTTTCAGTTAAAGTCTAAAGTTTTCAAAAATCCCAAATTATCAAAAGGCACCAGTTTACCACTAGACCTATCTATGTGCCAAGTTTGGTGAACAAATTTGTACTGTTTTCAAGATCTGCTCCGAAAGGAACCCTGCCGCCATTTTCAGTCAAAGTCATTGCCATGGAAACTCAAAAATAATTTTGTAAAAATTCCCACAAGAGCTATCTATGTGCCAAGTTTGGTTAAGATATATCTCATGATTTTTAGTTCTGCTCCGGAAACGAAACATGATGGAAGGACGCAAGGACGGATTGACAGCACCCATTCCTCTATCCCCCTTCCACTTCGTGGCGAATATAATAATAGATAGATGGATTGAAAGGTATCAAATAAGATGGAACAAAACAGGTGATTGGCAATGTAGACATGAAGGGACAGACAGAGAGGAGATTTATGAGAGACAGCTACAGACAGATTAATGGATAGAGGGAAACAATAGGAATGATGGAATCATGGACTAAATTTCAAGTCAATATGAACATGATGATATCTTGATAAAAATACTTACACAACTGTGAGACGTTTAAATGTTGGTGCCTCTTCTTTCTTTTTTCGAAAAAAGAACCAATAGATTGCAATTCCCCCTGCGGCCGATAGGATGAAGAGGTCCATAGTGGAGAACAACGTGCCATCGCCCATGTTGGCGTGTGTCAGCCTGGGTCACACGAGGATATTACCTGCAAGGAAGGAAGTCATTACCAGTTGCCACAGTTACTAGCCTGACACACAGATAATTGGGATTTGTAGTCACATTGAAGATTATTACACTCACATAGCGATGTTCATGCAAGCATGTGTGTGCATGTGTGTGTGCTACCTGGGTGTGTGTCTGTGTGTCTGCTTGTCCTAGTCCGGACTACATTCACTATCCATGCAATCAGTATAGTATCTCTGCCACGACAACTGTCACATGACAATCTGTCACATCTTACAGGCCATTCAAGATATTGCATATGTATTTCAGCTGTTTCATTTTTAACGAGCCAACTTCATCATGTTCATAAAAATATCAAATTTGTTAAATGACTTGATGAGATAAATATTATTTGGGCCATATCAAATTATTTATTTGTTTTCAAGAATATACTTTTTTTTAAATTAAAAAAAACAACATGATTTGATCCTGCTGGAAACAAATATTTCGATTTGCCCGGATGTTTTAGTATTTCAAGTAAGAGAGGCTACACTTAATTCAATTCATTTCTGTAATTGATATAAAAACCTCATACTTAATAACCCTTGCCAAATTCTCCACCAACAGCCAATCAGATTGTGTGGGTTTTTTAGCCCAAAGCCACAACACTGGTAATGAGTACACATTGTTATGACCGATGACAACACTGCGTGCGACCGGTCTTGCTGTGATCGTGACAAAGCAATCATTAAGAATGTCAGAATAGGTAAAACACGAACCATTTAATATAAAACTGAAACTTGTGATAAACATAAATTCTAAACTGCATATTTTAAGAATTCAAGATTGTTTCCCTCAAGCTCTTGAACAAATTCATTTACTGGTTTTCCCCCTCTTACATTGGAACATCAATTTAACCATTTCCAGTAAAACACATAATTAATGTGGTCTGGGCTTCACAAGAAAAGATACATATACTCTATACATCAGCAACACAACTCTAGGAGTTACACAGTGTCCTGTGAGCTCACCACATAGCCAACCTCTTACATTCCAGGTGTCACTTGTGTAGTTGCAGTTGTGTCGCTTAGGTGTGCCAGAAACCTATGATTGTGGGTTCGAAACCTGGTTTGAACTGATCATGCTTCTGGGTTTGCCTGCACCACCTAGTGGTGGGATGATACACCGATGACTCGGTGGATCACAATTTGTTACTGCTCGATATAAGTATCGATCACAGTCACACACTAAGTAAAAAGTATCGATTCTTACCTAAAATGTTTTCTTAAACTAAGCGTTACACAAAACACTAATTACTAGTGAAAATGAGTAGTAAAAACGTAAAACATTTTGACCATTGCACCAAACCTGACACTGCCAACTGTTAATCATTAGTGTGGCAGCTATTTGGCAATCCTGTCTGTGAAAGAGATGGCTTACACACACCACAGATAGCACATGTAAGTATCCCGATACGTATGGGATCGTGTGCAAGGTACTGTGATACGTATGGTATCGGATCGCACAGTTGATGTATCGTCCAAGCCCTTACCATACCCATGTTTGTGAATTTCACTGGTATGTAAAACATCCATAACCTTTATCTTGTGTGCATGTGTGTGCCACTGCTCAGTTTGTGTTAATCAATGGCTAATCGATGCCCATGATGTCAATCACTGGATTGTCTGGTCCAGACTCAATTGTTTACAGGCTGTCGTCATATAGCTGGAATATTGCTGAGTGCAACGTTAAACATAAAAAAAACCAAACAAACAAACAAACCCTGGCACCCCATCTCATCAAAAGATGACACAAATGAGGATCATTACGTTATACCTGTGGTTATATCAGTAAGTGTCTTATTTTCTTATGTACATATATCAATATCATACGTTATCCTTTTTACACATTGTAGCGCTAATCAACTGTGCAATATTAATTTCCCTTGGGATAATACAGTCTCATCTTATCTTATCTCAGCAATGTGTAAAAAGACTATTTCCTCAAAAAGAGACTAACTCATCACAGTTGTGAGCGTTATTTTGTTTGTTTGTTGTTCAACATGGCATTCAGCGATGTTCCAGCAATGTCAGGTCAGTAAATAATCGAGTGGACCAGACAATCCAGTGATAAACATCAAGAGCATCGATCAACGCAACTGGGACACAATGACATGCATCAACCAAGTCAGCGAGGCTGACCACCCATTCCCATTAGTCGCCTCTTATGAAGAACATGGGTTGCTGAACATGCTGAAGATCATGCTTGTGAGGAACATGTGACACACTTGGGCAGCATATGAACAGACTCAGCTCAGAGTCACATGGCATCTTAAGAAGAATTATATAAGAAGAAATATTTATGAATACCTAAAAGACTGAACCAAAGGGAGTAAAAATATATATATTGAATACCCAAACACAAACAGAAATACTGATCACACGTCAGGCATCAAAGTTGTGATTAAAACGGAAGCCAATGCGACTTAAATTTCAGTTTGTCTACTGTCTAATATTCAGAGGTAGCCAAATGACTACCTAGAAAAATATCTTGTGGCGACTAAATTCTATTGCTACACATCTGTAGACACAAAAATAAATAGCAGCTGATGTTGGAAAACATGCCTGCTAATAATTGTTCTGGCAAATAATTCTTTCTAAAGTCGACAATGACCCAAAATACAGAAAAATTAATATAATTAGTACTTTATTTTAGTTGACAATGCCCATTTGATAAGCGAGGAATGTTATACCTATATAATCTATAGTAACATAAACTGCATCATTGTTCAAGTCACAAGTAACAATATTCAAGTTCAGTTTCCATTAAGATACAATTTCAAGACTAGTGCTGTAACTTGTACATATTAATAATAGTTATTTGATAAAGATAATTTCAAATGCTTTTGGCTACCTACAATATTGGCTTGACCTCTTGATTTTACCACTGGCTACCTGAAAAAAAATACTTGTAGCCATAAGGCTACTGGTAAAAATTTAAACTTTGAGGCATGCATGTTAGTAAATATTCAAAGTCTCAAAAACGTCACTGAAGCATTGGTGAAATATGCCCCTTTACCTGTTTACCTGTTTACCTGTTGTCTCAAATAGTCATCAGCCAAATGAGTAAGCTGTAACACTTAACAGGTAAATGATATTGCTGCTGATGAAGTTCAGTCACCAGCACCATCTGGTGTCTGATATATGGAGCAGTGTCCATGGTATGTGATCCTTCATAATGTTCATGCTGAGTTTGTTAACATACACACATACTGGTCCAGATGCTCCATCACAGCAGCAGCATGGCTGTTATAAGGGCAACATGTTGACAGTCCTCCAACCAACAACAGCAGTAGGTGATGAACTATAAATTGACACGTTTTCATTTTTTCAGACTTATATAAACATAATAAACACAATGAATCTAAACAACTTTGCATTGCTAAAAATAAGTAAATCATTAGTCATTATTAAATTGTTTGATAGGCATTACTTTATTTACTGTAAAGGCCTTTATTTTCTTTTTTACCAAATGAGCCAACCCTAAAGTTGTTTAATAATCAAATACTGTATTTGATGTAATAAGAGCCCACGGCGATATTTGCTAATATATTGGATAGTGAACAGTCCCAATTAGCACCCCTTCTGATTGATCAATGTACACAAGACTTATTTATTCATGTATAATATGTGTCGTGTGTTATATGCACCCTTAGTTATGGGAAATTAAATTCTGGAAAATATATCTGCCGTGTATGATACGCACATACTTCATTTTAGGCTGTCAGCATAAACTATGAAATTTACAATCTTTCAACTCAATGGTTTTTTCTCACCAATATTATATTCTAATAAGAGCCCCCTATTTCTAATTTTGAGAGCTTATTACGTCGAATACGGTAATCTAAAAGTTTTGTTTGATGAAAAAAAAAAGATTTTTTATTTGTGTTCAAACATGTAAATCACAACATGAAAATTTCTGTTGGCAGTTAATCTGTATTTCCTTGTAATTCATTGGTTATTCACCTATGCCATGATATACAGCCATGTGCAGGTGTTGTATTTAAGAATTGACCTTCACTTTGTGTGAGTTCATTGGAGTATGAACCTTCATAGAGTGAGGGCCAAACTGTATGAACGACGGAGCTTGCAAATTTCTTATCACAATTTCTTACCTCAAAGGATGTAGGCCAAGATCTAAACACAATTTTATTATTTAGTATGTGTGACTTCATGTTTACACTGACAGCCAAACAACAACCAGCTATATCGCGGAATAAAATAGTTCCCCAAAAAAGAGGTGACATGAGCGTATGGATGCAGAACTTGCTCTTCAGAAACATCTTACGCAACACATGTGTTCATATAATATCCCCATTAGATGAGAAAGGTCTGTAATGAACTACCTCAGTAAGTCAGTCACAATGACAGCGCGTCGTAATACATTTACATCAAGTACAAGACGTCAAAATGGCCGACACGATAAACGTGACGGGAGGATTTCCGAAGTTGTTAATGAACCTGTGGCGGTTACATGTGTTAGTCATCATTGATCAACTGACCAATTATTGAAAGGTGATTGAAGGTGCGTCAAACAGACACCAAGGTAAATTTGTAGATTGCTGGAGACAATCACTGTCAGCCTAGACACAGATCGAGTCGATACTGACGATAGTTTGGATGTGCATTTTTTCGTTTGTTCATTAGGATGGGCCGTAGCGAGGAAATTCGTGAACAATCATGCAGCCAAGCTCTCTTACGTTTCTCAATGTATAATAAAATTCTGAGACCAAGATTAAAGGTTCTAAATGATCAGAAATAATGTTTATGTATGTTTTCGTGCTAGGGAATTCCCAGGGGTTTCCCCAGGAATGTGGAAGTAGTCCGTCAGTGTTTACGTCATTTCAAGAACACGGTCTCGTGAAAAACGTATGAACGTCAAATTGTGTCGCTCATACACTTATGAACGTCAATTTCGCGGTCATGTGACCGACCTCTCGTCCAATGGAAAAGTCACATATTGTGTAAACGTCAAATTAAAAAA